GAGGATTATGAGTCCCAGGTCAGCCAGGCTACATGTGGAGACCCACCTTGCCCTTAACAAAATCCAACCATGACCTTGAGGGTGGTCTTGGTTTCATTCTTTCTCTAGAACCTTATCAGAAACAAGATTTAAGGGCTAGCAGAGTGGCTCAAGTGATAGAGCTCCTGCCTAGCAAGCTTGAGACTCTGAGTTCATATCCCAGTACCTCTGACAGAAAAAAAAAAAGAAAATGTCTGCAAACTGAAAATGTATCAACTTACACCAGTTACAAGTTTTCCAAACACATTTGGAAGGTAAAAAGTTTTCTGCAAGTTTGTATTTATACTTTTTTAAAAGGACACAGCGCCTTGGTTATAACCAAGTAAGCCAAGAGTTAACGATATTGCGAAAATAGAGATCACACCAAAATGTACTGCTTGGATCATTTAACTATTGCTGCATATTAAAAATGATTCCAAAACTACATGGCTGAAAACAACAATAATTTATTATTTCTCATGCTTCTATGTACTAGTTGGCTTTTCTGATAAGTGATTTTTTGTTCTAGGTGGAATTGACTAAAGTCATCCATTGAACTGGATTTAGCAGCTGCAATCAGGCAGGGAGCTTGGCTGGGGCTAAAATATCCCAGATGATTTTATTCACATATCTGAAAGTCAGAGTTGGTCACTTGAGGAGCCTTAGTTCTCCTCCACATGCCCTCTCATCTGCTGGCAGGTTAGATTGTCATTCTTATAGAATGGCAGCTGAGTTCCAACAGGAAAAGTCCCACTTCTAAACAAGAGCTTTTCAAGTTTCTGCTCCTGTCCATGTTTGCTAATATTCCTTTGCCTATGCAACATCCAAGACCAAAATCAGTGTGGGAGGGCACAACAAAAGAGCATTATTACTAGAAGGAATGAGTCATTAGGACCCACCTATCTAGCATTCAACCTTATCCAGTCATTCAGTAATTACTTATAGAACACCCAGGCCCAAGGGATGTAATAATGATCAGGACAAAATCCCTGGCATCAAGGAGCCTACCTGGTTGCATTTAAGGGGGTGAGGTAAAAGAACATGCCACAAATCTACATCCTTAGCAAGTGCTCTAGGTGATTCTGACAGAAATTAATGTTTGTGAAACTTCATCCTTAACCCTGTATCTACAAATATCTTAAGCTGATCACTTGATTCTTAGCAAAGACCTAAGGCTTGGGTGAAAAGAGGCACTGACAACCCATAAAACAGACTTCTTTTGCCTTATTGTTTTGCTAGAGTTTTGTCAAACTCTATCTATAGCCCAGTGGTCACAAAGCCTGGTCCCTGTACCACCAGTAGCAGTGTCACCTGGGAACTTGTTAGCAATGCAAATTCTCAAACTTCACCTAGGAAAGAAGAAATTCTGGGGCTGCAGCTGGTATGTGAGTATGTTTCTGATTTTTTTTTTCCTGTGCTGCAGATGGAACTCAGGGCCTCGGGTATGCTAAATAAGTGTTCTACCACTAAGCTACACAGCTCTAGCAACCTGGGTTTGACAAATTCTATAGGTGGTTTTTATTTTTTCTTTTCTCACTTGTCTTTGAGAGAGTCTCGTTATGTAGCCCAGGCTGGCCTAGAACTTGAGATCCTCCTGCCTTAGCCTCCCAAATGTTGGGATTACAGGTGTGCACCACCATGCTCAGCTTCTAGTCATTCTGATATAAATAAAGTTTGAGAACCACTGCTATATTCTCATATCTGCTGTACTGTGTAAAGTGATACACATTTTAGGTAGTCACATTTAGATTATTAACATGCCTATGAGTAGGTTATCCAACTTCAAGGGGAAAGGAGAGGCCCCCAATTTGGCTATTTTTATCAAGTATATTTAAATTCCTAATCTATTTTCAACTTCTGGTCCTACCTTAGTCAAATCACTTAGTATATCTGCTTAAATAGTCCCAGTTTCATAAAACAAAGAAGTGCCTGTGTTCTTTATTGTAAACCTTTCCAGCACTTTCCATATGATGCTTTCTATATCTTTATCAATCCATATCCAAGGGAATATTAGAATAGAAGAGAATCATTAAGGAAAGGCTATCTTTTCAAACAAGTGAGACTAGAAAAATAAGTGCTACTTCTCAGGCAAATATAAGAAGATCAAGATCTGTTACCAGGAAAAAAAAAGATTCTCTAGGGAAATGTAGGCTTTCTGCTTATGCAAATTCTGTGTAAGTTACCAAAGAACAGGAAAAACCAGAGGAGGAATAAGTGAAATATCTAAAGACTCTCCAAAGGGAGGTTAACACTGATTTCCTGATCTACCAGTCAGAAATCCTCACAGCGAGCTTTACATGACTCAAGCTCTTTAAATTATTCACATGAAGGACCTTACCTTAATCCTGGTCTTCACCTCTGGGATTTTTGGGTTTTTTTGTGGAAACAGATATGACAGAAACACCACATCTTGCTTTTCCTGATTAACTGTGCTGCCTGTATAGTGCTTTCATTGGCATTACATCAGTTACATTTCACATTAACCTATCCATGTCAGAGTCAGTGACATTTTTCCCTATTTTAAAAAATGAGCAAAAGAAAGCCATGGGGAAAAATGAGTTACTCAAGGTCATGAAGATTAAATGTTGAATGATAGGGCCAAGATCAGACCAAGATCCTTACATTTTCAGTTCAATGTGTTGGTGGATAATGGTGAGCATACCTGCCTTCCAGTCCCTTGTTTTTTCCACTGCTTTGTCTTCAGATCTGGGGTGGGTGGTAGGGAGATCAAAGTGGACCAGCATTCTATGGTCTTCCTTTTCATCAGTTTTCCTTTCTAATTTTCTTCAGCTTCTATTCCCTCAGGCTGCTGTTTGATGTCAGGAGCCTGAAATTCTAGTCCTGGTTCTGCCACAGAAGGCTGGCTGGTCTCAAACAAAAATACTACTTACGCCCTCTTGGACTCAGCTTCCCCCATTGTTACTTTCAAATCTGTCTCATTGATAGTATGAAAAAAGGAATCAGAGTGTCTATTGTTAATTTTTACATTTATCCACAAGTTTTGGAGTGCAATTGGCGCTCACAGGAGTGAGAAAGGGTAAGCCAAAAGTAGTTCTAAAAAGACAAGAAAAAATATATCTTTGAGAGTTTAGAGTATATATTTGGGGTGTGGAATTGAGATAGGCTGAGCTAGACTCTTCCATTTATGCCGCTTTCCCTTGTCCTTTCCTTATGAATTACAGAACACTTACAAATGTGTCACTCCTAAAAATTCAAATAATATTTTTGCTTTTCAGTTTTCTTTTGGTGGAAGGAATGAGGATGTGGAATATACACTATGATAGAAACCACAGAATCAATAATTTTAAGGACTTCTCTTGTACATCAAGACCTACTTACTCTGAAATGACTGAATTCTGATCCCCACTATGCTGCTAAACAAATAATTTGCTGTCCTGTTAGAATCTGAGCCAAAAATGTGTGAAAGTTCAAACATGATTAGGCTTTTTCTTTTTAATTGTTTGATATGGTAGGCTTGGTGACTTTGTTTTTACTGATTTCTACAATCAAGGAAATCTCTATTCATATCATTTATTTAATTAATGCCTTTCAAAGTTTTTAGAGACTAGTTGGCCTAGTTCCTTAACATTTGCCTATGTTCCTGTCTGTCTCTTTTCCTCTTCCAGGAATTTCAGAAATACTGACTCATCTGCTCTCCTATCTCAAAGCAAATCAGTTTATAAATAGTTACCAAATCCAGCCTCTCATCTGGAATACCAGGATTTAATATATAGCTAGAGAATGCTTCCATAGGAAGTGTGATAGAGCTAAGGCAAGAGAGGCAAAAATAGAAGTGACGTTCCAAAAACACTGTGAGATTTGGGAAAGGAATGAAAAAAATTAGAGTGGGAATAGCAGAGTAGTTTTTAATAGAGAGCATGGTAATTTGCAAAATCGATTCAGTGATTTCCAATCAGCATTTTAAAAATGACATACCATAGAATATACAGAACGCATTGCATGGAAAGAAACATTCTTTAGGAAACATTTAAAAATATACATGAATACGTACGTGTTTATATATGTAAGTACAATATATATAAAATGCATACACACACAAGCCCTAAGTTGTTTTGCAAACTATTTGGCTCTGCAGTCCGGTCCAAAGTTTGAACGCTCCTAGAACACATGACTCAAGAGGATCTTGGCAAGGTAAATTCAAGGTCAAGGCAGAATCCTTTTTCTCTTCCACTGCTGTCCGGAGTAGTTAATGAAGCGAGCGGAAATGGCGTGTGTGGGGAGGGGACAGGGAGTGAAGCCAAGCGAGGAGCAAGGGCGCGTCAGGACAGGGAGGTGACTGCCGCCTTCTGCCTAGTTGGTCAATTGAGGGACTTGGGGAACCCGATTTTGAGTGTTTTCCTTAAATGCTAAACCGGAAGAACTTCCGTGTGCTTTGTCCCCGAAAAGCCTACAAAGGTGAGGGATTCACGTTGCTCCCTCAGCTGGTCTCCAGTGGGGTCGATACCTTTAGAAGAGATTATTAATATTATTAGCAAGGACCCAGCGCGGGGGAAGTGGGCGGGGCGTGGGAAGCGCGGGAAGGCTGGGCCGGGGTCTGTCAATACTGAGAGTCTAGTACTCTGAACAGCGTACGGGATAGAACAGGCAGTTCTGCACTTTGGGATCCGAGGGTTGGAGGCGCGGGTGGAAGTGTGTTCTTGCTATGAGCCAGAGGCATTCACTGCCAATGGGCAGCGCCCGCCTCCGCCGCAGGCCCTGCAGCAGCTAGCTGGCTCCCTAACCCCTTCCCACATGACTTGCAACACCAGCCACCACCTCCACCGCGCCCAGGCCCCGCCCCCGTGACGTCCCACCGCCCTCTGACTGTCTGAGCATTCGGCCTTTTTCTGCGTTCCTTCATTGGTCGGTTCAGCAGACAGCGCCCCCCCCGCCACGCCCCCGGAGCCGTGGGGAACGCGAGCTGGGCGGGGCCTGGGCTGAAGGGGCGGGGTGAGAAGACTCCGCGCGGGTAAAGGGGCTGCCTCAAGCGCGGTACGAGCCTTCAGTAGACCAGCTCAAGCCTCGCCCTCCGGTTTCGCCGCTTGCAGCTCCTCGGCCGGCTGTGGTCACCCAGGAGACCCTTCTCAATAGTCCACCGACCTAAACCTGGTCCCATGGCAGCCGCGAAGAAAGCAGTTTTGGGGCCGTTGGTGGGGGCAGTGGACCAGGGTACCAGCTCGACACGTTTTTTGGTGAGCCCGGGGTGACATCCAAGGAGACGCTGAGCCAGGACGGAAGCTCAGGGACAGAGGGACTGGGTGTCGCGTCCCCATCCCGCGCCTCTCACGGTCCTGGGCCCTGGTGAGGGAGGGAGGCCGGAAAGGAACCTGCCACGCTGGGGCTGCCCTGGGGCCTGGGGGATCTCGGCCTTCCAAGACCCCCGCAGCAGAGTTGAGCAGTTGCAGTTTTGGTGGTGGAGCCTGGTCACGTGGTAATGGGGGAGGTTTCTTCTTCCAAAAAGAATGAGGACTCTGAGCATCCGCGCACAGCGGTCCGCGTGCAGCAGGGGACAGGTGGCCACATTGACCGCTGAAGCGGTCCTCCCCAGGAGCATTTGGCCTGCGAGGCGCAGGACGTCCTTGGATGGAGGGAAAGCTGTGTCACGGTTGTGGTAGTCTGACACAGCGTCCTTTCCAGCAGTAGAACGAATAAAGTATTAGCGTGATGATGCATTGTCATTCTCGCACATCTCGCACAGAAATTGCAGAGGGTAAAATACTGAGGGGGTGGCAGAACAAATTAGGAAACAGACACACTACACCACGTTTGCCAGAACCTTTAATTTAGAAGACTTGAAAAATTCAATTTTGATACTTTGCCCATTACAAACAAACGTCTTTTTTGCTTCCCAGCAATTCTGTTTCTCTATTTATTTACCATGAATAACAGTACAGTTTTACCGTAGAAGGGTGCTATTTAAGCACCTTTCCCTGCTGTTTGTTTTCCGCAATTAGGAAACTTGCTCTTAAAAGTGATCTATCATTGAGTTCAGTAAGCTCATTTAAATCCAACATCTTACTGCAGGCAGCAAGATCATTTAAAAGTAATCTAAATGAACATTTCCTGGAAAAAAAAACCCCATGCTTTTGATGGATATTTGACTAACCTAGCAAGTTGATGTAAATATTTAGTGATGATTTAACTCCCTCTTCATTTGTTTACCTCACACCATTTTTTTCCTGTTTTAATTATTTTGTGGTGCTGGGGACTGAACCCAGGGCCTTGCTAGGCACACTACCACTGAGCTACAACCCTAGCCCTTCTTGTATTATTTAGTATGTATAGGTGTATGTATGTGTTGTGTGCCTATGTATTGTATGTGTGTGTAAATATTATGTTTAGCTGGCACTTTCTTAAAAACTGCTTTTGTGTTTTGATCCTGGCATCTCGCTTGTTTAAATGGACAAGCTTTTCATCCATGCTTAGTTTGAATCTTAGTGACTTAACCCTGGTTTGAACTGCCAACACTTAGTTCCACATTTTCTGCATTGTTTATATTTTCATCACCTAGAGCTCAGGTTCTTCTTAAACTTGTTATGTAGCTCAGGTTGGCCTTAATCTCATGATCCTCCTGCCTCAGCCTCCCAAGTGCTGGGATTACATATGTGAGCCACAATGCCCATTCATGTGGGTTGATTTTTAAGTCATATTCAAGAATCACCCATACAAATCCCTGCAGGTGTCAGGAAGTAGAAGGAGGCAAGCAGAGTGGAGAGAAACCAGGCCAGGGCAGTGGCTAGTAGCTGCTAACCAGGAAGGCAAGCCCAGAGATACCAGATATGTAGATACTTTAAGAAAAGCTGGCAGTGTAGAATTTTCAGTGAAATCTTCCACTGCTTAATTTATGGCAACTAGTTCATAAAGCACTGTGGGGGCCAAACGAAGCGGGACAACAGCTGTCAAATTTTTACAGCATTTGCTCTTTATGAAAGTGGGTAAAATATTTCATGACTTTGTAGGTTTCCTTTTTTTAAGGAGGCAGCCTGAATGTGCTTGCCTTCTTTTTGGCTCGTCATTGTTGCTGTCCATGTTGCTGAGCAGTCTTCTTAAGCCATTACAGGTTGTTCCTCAGATTCTATTGCCCAAAGTCATCTTTTTACATTGACAGAGAAGAAATTGATCAACTTCATAACGCCACAATCATTTGTTCAGTATGTAACATGAACAATATGAACCTTCAAAAATTGGGCTCCATTTACTGGACTCTGTAGGACATGATTTCAGTGAGTAAGCTAAGGTTCAAGTTCAGAAGATTCCCATCCTGCTTGTAGAATGAAGTATAAAGGGTGATGAGTAAAGTTGTCCTCTCCTTGAGGAACAGCTGTGAAGTAATGCTTTAGAGGTAGATAAAAGACAGATCCCATGGGAAGTAGAAAAAATCTTGGGAATGGTTTAGCCAAGGTGGTTTGGTTATAAGGAAAGAGGTTGCTAAACCACTCCCTGTGAAATGCAGATAATAGATTTGCTGAATAAGTGCTTCAATTGCAAGGTGATTCCTAGGAGGTATTCAATCAAATTCCATGTTATAAAGTATGATTCAAAAATAATTGCTTACCTTCTTAGGAAAGGATACATTGGATATGAACTGTCATAAGGAAGCTTGTAAAGTTAAATGTATTTACATAACTTCAGGACATTATGCATTCAATTTGCGTATTTAATTTTACTTACTTCTCCAAGCTTCTCCCTTTTTCTCTGTTAGCAGTATTAACTTTATCTTATAAGGAGAAAAAGCTTTGTTGTGCTCTTTCTTCTGATGGGAATGCCTCCTGTCCAACCCCCACATCAGTTTCTTGAAATTCTATTCTCTTTCTAAATAGTAGTTCCACTGCTATCTCTACTTAGTAGTTTTCTTCAAACCCTTTGTCAGAATGTCTTCCCCTTATAGCATTTTTAAATACCTCTATTAATAGCTCTTATCACCTCCTCCCGTATTATAATTGTATGCCTGCTGTACTCGAGGGCTGGGGCCACCATTTAAGCCTTGTTCATTTCTTTTTGTTTTGTTTTGAGACAGGATCTTGCTATGTTGCCCAGGCTGACCCGGAACTTTCCATCCTTCTGCCTTAGCCTCTTGAGTGCCTTGTTCATTTTTGTATTTATTAAAACATCTTGATCAAATGACAAATGAACATGTGTTTTATTTACAGAAAGTACTTTATCCTTGTCTATTGAGTAGATTTCTATTTCTCTTTAATTATGTCAACTGAATTTTTTGTTTTTTGCAGTACCAGGGCTTGAACTCAGGGCCTACACCTTGAGCCACTCTACCAGCCCTTTTTGTGTTAGGTATTTTCGAGATACAGTCTCACAAACTGTTTGCCTGGGCTGGCTTTGAACCATGATCCTGCTTTCTACCTCCAGAGTAGCTAGAATTACAAGTGTGAGCCATCAGCACCTGGTTTAAGACAATTGAATTTTAATTCTGGTTTTCTTTATTACCTTGCCAAAAAATCTGAAAACTTTCTAACATGGGTATGTTTGATTAGTTCATTTCTTTGCTTTTAGTGGTAGACCTGCAATTTTGGAGCATATTCATTTCTTTATCAAGTTGTCAAAGAACTGAGTCTTGGAACTCTTTGCATGTGTTTTGTACTACAGTACAAAAACTACAAGTTTTCTGATAGGAGAGTGAACTGAGGCTGGCACATGGTTACTCAGATTGCAGAGTAGGAACTTCTTGGAAAGAGAATTAGTGTAACAGGTTTTAAGGAGGGGCCATTTATGAGACAAAAGTTTCAGCTTCAACTGTCAACTTCCTTTAATTTGGTTAGTTAGTTTTTCCATTAAATTAGATGTTTACAAAAAGGCTTGGAATATGTTGTTAACTTGAAATGTGTCAGGCTTTGTTGGACTTTTCCAGCATTATCTCATTTAATGTGATATAAGTGGTGTTAGTACGCTCTCTTACACAGGTGATTAGACTGTGGCTGAGGATTGTGCCTAAGGTTACAAAGTAACTGGTGGAACTAGGATTCAAGTCCAGGTCTGTCACCTCTGAAGCCAGTCCTCCTAAGTACTGTTTTTAGCTCTTCAGCTGCCCAGAGTACTGTGAAGAGATGAGAGGATGGTGAGGGCTCTCTCTCTCAGTCAAGTGTTGGTTCTGATTATGGGATTATGGTCATAAATGGTCATATTTGCCAAGAAAAACAGACTTACAAATTGATTTCACAAGATATGAAAAAATGTTGCTTTGAATAAATAGTGCAAATTATGATCATTTTGTGACTCAGATTCAGCCTATCCTGGGCAGGGCTCAGGTGTGTCACCGTGGATAATGGTTGCATAATCATTTTGTTCCAACAGCCAATATGTATGAAGAATGACTAGAACTGTAGTTCCATGCTTGTTTTGGCAAGAAACATTGCCTTGGCCCCAGTTGTCTCATCGTACTTAGAGATCTCACAAAGCTTATGGATAGATTTCCTCCTTGTTTTTCTTTCTTCCTTTCTTCCTTCCTTCCTTCCTTCCTTCTCTTTTTCTTTTCTCTCTGTCTGTCTGCCTGTCTCTTTCTCTCTTATTCAACACATTTATTAAGCCCTCATTATGTGCCAGGGGTAAGGAACAGTAAGTTTGGTAAAACCTAATTTAGCTCATAGGTGGAATGAGGCCACTCTTCACATAACTAAAGTTGTGATACTTTTGTTGCTTATTTTTCTCTCGTACATTGGCTTGTTTTCTTGCTGGTTACATTACCCAAGGTGGCATGAACACATTGTCATCAGAGAGCTGCCCTCTGCTCCTTTCCTCTTGTCTTTCACAAGCCTATGTGTTAAGAGCTCTCCATATTGAGCTCCTTGAGGGGCAGAGCAGTTTCTCATGTTCTTCCCTATAGGCATTTAATAGGTACTTATTATGTGAATCCGCATCAGCATTGAGGAGCCCATGGGGTTCAGATGTATTGACTAGAACTCTTGGATCAGAAGAATAGCACAATACAACTCAGAGGGTCTTAGAAAAATGTCAAATTTGGCAAGTATGACTATATTAGATATATGCATATGCTTTTTAATACAATTTTATTTTTAAGAAAAATATACCATATGCTATGTTTTCTTTACTTCTGTGACTTGTTGGAAGATGCCATAAGACCTTTACTGTTCAAATTTCTAATGTAATAAATTTGTGGCAAATATTTTTATTTTTGGTCATGTAAATTTATGTATTTCTTTTTGGCAGTACTGAGGTTTGA